AGTCCGCTGCTCCATAGACTGCTTCCGTAGAGGTAGGTCGTGAGGAAGACGATGATCCATAGGACTTGCTGGAGGAGACTCCTTTGCGAGCCTCTGGGCGCGCAGTCTCGCCCTTCAGCACCTTGCCTCCGGGCTTGTCCCTTGTTCCCACGAGGACCGGGTAGACGGTGACCAGGGTCTGGGCAATCGGCACCTTGTAGTCCAGTCCACGCCAAACCATTCCACAGCTTATGCACTCCAAGAACTTCCCATGGGCGTTGCCAAAGCGTCTTCCATGCTCCACCAGGTGAGGGCAATCCCTCGGCTGGTAGGGGTAGCTCAGGTTCCATGGCAGTCCGAAGTTCTTGCTCTGAGTGGTCACTGGGGGCATGGTCGGTGGCAAGGCCTCCGGATTCCACTCCTCGATCATCTGGTCGTGGGAGATCAGGGCTTCCCCATAGGCCACCAAAGCTGGTGATCGGTGTTTCAACTGGTTCATCATGCGAGTTGAAGCCAGGCTGCAGACGATCGCCTTGAGGTAGATCATCACCTTGCGCAGCAGGCGGCTCCATCGCAGCCACACAAAGTCGTCTTTGGCTTTCGAATGCCTTTGCATCTGTGGGGCTGCGGTGCGAGCACGGGATCGTGAGCTTGATCCGAACTCTTCCGCCGGGACATTGAATCTCACAGCTTGGCGATCGATGGGAAGGTCAGGTGACTTGACTGACTTGTCAAAAGATTTCAAAATTCTCTTCTGAACTGAAGTTTTCACTGAAGCTGGGTGCACACGTCTCGTTTCAGCGTTCTCGAAAACGACGTCGACACCCTGTGGTTGCCATGCAGGAAGAAGGGGCCCAACATCCAAACCAGGGTCACAATCTTTACCAAAAAGAACCGTATATCCAGTCCAGGGCTCCTCATGTAGAAGACGTTGAGGGGCATCCCAAACATCGATCAACTCGTTCTGGTAACCGTGCTTGATGGTGACCCCTACGGACTGGAGTTCATCAGGTTGGGGACCGTCAACAACTTCTTCAGGATGAAAACGAGATGTCCTTGGACGGTGGTGGTGCCTAATATAGACCTGAGGGTGATCCAAAAGGTATTCCCATTTGTCGGAGGCGACGATGCAAGGGGTTCTCTCCTGCAAACTTCCATCACAAAAAGGATCATCCTCGGGGCTATAAACATGAGTGGCTGCAAAATTCGGCTGCATGTAGGCTTTTCCTGTGGCCCAAAGGACTCCAGCATAGGCGTCTTGTGATGCCTGACGGTCCTGCGGCCATCCAGTGACTGGAAAATCATCTACCGCGACCACAAGGTGTCCAGTGTGGTCTACAAAAAGCTCCGCCTCAGTCTCAAGGGCCTTGAGGTAGATCTTCTGCTCTCCGATGTCTACGACTGCACGGACCAGTCGCAGCCAGTCTTGCCCAGCAAGCCAAGGAATCTTGCCACTCTCAGGCAAAGTGTCGTCCAGCACGGAAGTCTTGATCACCATTGCACAGCCTCCAATGCCAACTGGCATGTGCCACCTGTGGTTCGAAGTTCTGGGCTCTCCAGGTCCAAAACGGTAGGACTCGTTCTCCTCGGTGATCAGGGGCTTCACGCTGTGCTTCGACTCGATGATGCTGGCGACTTGCCTGACTTGGGTGAGTCCACCCACAGTGTTCTCGCATGCCGTGTCGATGGTCAAGTAAGCGGTCTTGTCCTTGACCGTGGGCTTCATGCGAGTGTTGCTCCAGACGTCTCTTGGTACTCGATCTCCGCCAACGAGGAACTCCTGCATGCTCAAGTCGTCCTCTGGGAAGACAATCTTCATGGCGAAGTCGTAGTCCAAGAAGCGGACCGGGCCACGAGGACTGGCAGCACTGGTTGTCTGCCGGCTCAAAGTCTTGCGGCTGGTCCTGCGGGTTCCGCCATGCACCAAACCACCACAACGTCTCCTCTCCTCGTACTGCTCATCTGAGAGAGTGGAGGTGTCGCGGGAGTAGATGCTCTCGATGCCCTTCTCATACTCAATGCGGCCACGGTGAGTGGGTACGTGATGAGGTCGAGGTTCGTCGGGTCCAGGAAGTCCAGGATGAAGTTCACTCGAAACCACCAAGGCCACTCTCACCTTGTCCAGGTCAACCTTGGGCGGTGTCTTGGGGACCGGTTTGAGAAGATCCCAAACACAAAAACCAGGTTCCTCCTCAATCACCGGAAGTCCCAAACGTTCTTGTGCTTCACGAATGGCTTCCGGAGCCGATGAAGTATGGCCTCGGGCCTTCAACCTCTTCTCCTCGATCTGCTTCTGCACGTCCGCGGTCGCGGTGAAGACGTCGAACGGCTTGGTCCTGTCCTCCGCGTTGGCGGCCAGCAAAACCGAAGATGAAGACGAGGGTCTCGATGTAGTACCAGTGTCACCAGTTGCCTTGCGCTTCATGCGGTTCAAGTCCTTGATGACCTCATAGGCGTCATGGGACTGAAGTGGGGCATCTGGCTTCTGAACCTTGGTAGTCGTCGAAGTGGGTGTAGCCTTGCGGCCACTGTTGAACTCTGTGGACTTGGGGTAGGCAGCACGGTCAGTCGAGGTGTCAGCAACATTGCGTTCCGCACCTCCGCCGGTCATCCGGCCAGTGTGACTGTCATCGTAGTCGGGCTGCCATTCAGTCCAGTAGTCGTCATCGTTCTCCTGGGGCTCCTCGGTCTCGTAGTCCAAGTGAGCTTCATGAGCCTTCTTCGGCTGCTTGCATTGAGGATCTCCACGCCAATGGCCAAGTTCGCCACAATCACCACAAGTGGAAATGGCTTTCAGCTCATCCAAAGACATGCCACGGGCTTTGCCCTTGCCCTTGGGTCGCGATGAAGATCGTGAAGACGATGAAGACCTTGTAGAGTCCTTGCCCTTGCCCTTCGACTTGCTGTAGCCCTTGCCACCTCCACCAGAGCGTCCTTTGCCCTTGCCGGACTTGAGATAGAAACCTCGGGCCTTCACGGCCGCTGCAAGCTTCTGGCGGTTCTCTCTGTGGGTGGCGAACACCTCATGTAGTTCACGGGCTAGAGGTTCAGGAAGATATTCAACTTCTGCGTCAGCGAGGGACTCGATGGGGTCCTCAGAGACAATCCACTCTTCGAGGTCGACTTCCTCAGTGGAAACTTCAGGCTCCCAATGGCCCTGCGTCTCGTGTGCTGTTCTGCCTTTGCCATAGCTGCTCCGACCATCAGACGGCTTGTCATAGGTCGTTCGGCCGCGATTGACATAGGTCTGGGGGTAGAGGAGGTCAACAGCAGCTTTGACCTTTTGCCATTCATAGTCTCCTCCTGTCCTCAGGAGGATGTTGGCTTGCCGCTCCATGGTGCATCCAGCCTGCTCAAAGAACTGGTAGGTCATGATCTCGTCGGGGATCTGCAAACCAGCTTCCCTGCAAGCGCGGGCGGACTTATCCAGCAAATCACACATCTCGGTGAGCGTGGTGTTCTTCTCCGTGAGGCTCATCTTGAAGAAGCCGCGAAGTGCTCCTCCAATCTTGTGCATCTTGCGCTCATCGAACTTCTCCTGCAGCACCTGCAGAAGGACCTTCCAACCTTCAGGGCCTCCGAAAGTGCGAGCTGGGATGTTCTCCAAGTACTCGGCCGCTTGACCTTCCAAGGCGCTATGCAACCGAAGTCCGATCTCGCTCTCGTCGATGATCTTCTTGGAGATCTCCACATAGCTGTCAACCTTCTGGAGCCACTGCTTGAAGACCTTCGGGTTCTTCTTGCGATCACCATCGAAAGGTGGTGCTGGAGGAAGGTTTCCTCGCGGTCGTCCGCGAGGGGCTGAGTCTTCAGCCTCTGACTTGCCAGACGAAGGTCGCCTTCTCGAAGGGCTCGATGGTGAAGTAGAGCTCTTCTTGGGAGTGCTGCCACCAGGATCTCGGCGATGAACTTGTCGCGGTCCATTACGTCCAAGGCGTCCACGATGTAGTTCATGTTCTTCCAACTGCTGCTCCTCATCTCTCAACAGCTCTTCTTCTTCCTCGCCTTCCTCACCCAGAGGGCTCTCTAAGTGAGGGTAGTCAAACTCCGCTGAAGTAGGAAGATCACCTTCAGGAAGTCCATCATGTAGTTCTTCCTCATCATCATGAGGTCCAAACAGCTCAGCAGCTGCCGGCATGGCAGAAAGCGAAAGCACGAGGATCGCGGTGCTCCGCTGCCAATGCAACTAGACGGATTCACACGTCATGGAAAAAGGGGGAAAGGCGCCGCTCGCGCACTTTTGACAGCTCAAGGGCCCTGCGGCGAAAATGGGGTTAGACCGATCGGCTCGATCGTGACGCACTCTTGGAATTCTTGCAGTGGGAACCCCTCGCCAACAAAAAAAACAACAAGGTTGGCAAGAGATCCACTGACTGCATCGGGCCCGGCCCGGCAGCCATTCCCCCTTTCCTTCGTTTCCTTCCTGGCGCCCATCGGCCGCATGGACCACGTCAGGACGAACGAAGCTCCGGTTGGTTCGGCGAGCCCAAGGAGCCGCGGCCATGGACGAGAACGATGAAGCGGATGCACTTCCCTGTTTGGGTGCGGAAGTGGAGACCTGTTTACGTGGGGTAGGGTAGTCGAACGCCAGGACACCCAGACAGGATGATCCTGGAATGTAGACTCTTGATTAATAACCCCCTATCGTATTAGCCATATATGAAGAGGATTTCACTGACTCCCCCAAACACCCCAACTGATCGGCAAATATGGGCCCATGGAGTGGTTGGGGACTTTGGGAACCTGATTTTAAAGAACAAAGACATCCCTACAACAAATCAGTCAGGTGGACGCCGTTTCTCTGCTAGATTTGAGAGCTATGGATCATGGCACCTGGTATTTCTACAACGCAATCTTGAAACCAAAACAAGAACCGTGTCAAGCAAGTGAATTCACATGACTAAAACATACTAAAACCAAACAAGGCCGATATTTCTTCTATCTTCTATCTTCCCAACGCCGGATATTGGGCCGCCGCCCCGGGGCGGTTGGAGCTTCGACTTGAGGCCTCTCCAAGCGACGCGGCTGCGCAGCTCTTGTGGCGATGGCATGGCGGAGGCGTAGCCCTCGAAGATCACATCGTAGAAGTCCTGTGAAAACGCCCAGAAAAGGATCCCAGTTAGCACATGGTACCATAAGGAACCAGGGTGACCTTAGGTTGGTTGGAGTCTTTGGAAACAGTGGCAATTAGTGGTATACTGTAAGTGAAACCCCTCGCAAAAATGAACCAAACTTTCCATCTGCTCACATTTAGACAAAGCAATCCCCCATATAAGGGTTTTAAGCCATGGTCATTGGATGCATTTAGTGTTTTCAATTGGGTGTGGACAAAAAGCAATCCACCCCAAAAGCAAGGTTTTGCAGGTAATCAACGTACTTCCTGGGTAATCTGGCATGTCAACAGATACAACAACAACAAACTATGAACAACCAATCATTGATCCACTGGGCCCCAAGATCCACCTACCCCAGATCGACTTGCATCGGTGGGGGTGGCAGCCCCGGTCTCTCTCCTGATGATCCTCAGGCGGTCCATAGGCGGTGAACTCCTTGCGCGTGGCCGTGGGCGCCCGGCACGTGCCGTCGCCCGGCGTGGTGCCCACGGTCGGCTTCCGCCGCGCGAAGAGCAGCAGGCGGATGTAGTGACCTGAGGGGGTGCAGGTTGAGATATCTTTCTCCAGGGCTCCAGTCGTACCTTCTGAGAAGGTGGGACTGGGGCTGGGTGCCAGGAGGGTCCAAATACCTTCTGAGGTATCTGGAACCCTAGGGTTTAGATGCTTTAGCCTCGATAGTTGGAAGGAAGAAACCGCCTGTTCTCTCTGTTCTGTTGAGTGCTATATAATTCTTGCAGGAGTCAGACTAAGTGGGCTCCCTTTTGCACGAGTAGTGCAACATCTCTCCTTTAAGAGCCTAGAGACTCTAGGGTAGGCCTTCGAAGTGGAGGTAGGCCAAAAGCCCAGCAGGACCCCAATCCAAATGACCCGGTCTATCGTAGGACTGATCTGAGGCTTAACAAAGTAGGACCGACGCTGAAGTGACACAATGCGTGCGCCCAGAAAGTGCGAAACTATGGCAAGTGGCTCATCTTTTTGCTCGATGCATTGCAGACTCTCTCCATACATTGCCCTGTGCAGGCATTACGGCGACCGCGATGTGAAGCTCGGGTTGGTAGTGATATCACATACCACCACAGTAGTATACCAGAAAGTTACCTCCAAAAAAGACAAACTCTAAACATCTCTAAACTCCACAAGCGTAGCGGTGTCATTGAAATGTCTTGGATACTCACTTGCTGCATGAATTGGGGCATGTGCTATTCACAAGCAACATGAGCCCGTTGTTGACAATGGGCCAAAACAGCACACAAACGGTGTGCGAACGGTATGCTGGGGCTGGGGCCAAATGTTGTCGACCATTTTTGCAGCCACAAAGGCCACACATGGCCACACAACAAATCACACACACACACACCATCACCTACCTTGCCGATTCACATCGAAAATAATCGAACATCTCAGCAGACCACGAAGAAAGGACAACCACGAAAGAAAAGGACTTTCTTTACTTATTTGTGACCCATTCTGTCTGTCAAGAATCGTCAAGAATCATTTCCCTGATCCACCGAACTGTCAAATGGTCACCATGAGTCAATTAGCCGAAGAGGGGAGACAAACAACAAAGGATTCGGGATCCACGTACCCTCTGAGAAGGTGATGTGTTCGACACTGTTCTGACTGCCGGTGCCAGCCAGCCGGGTCCAGTCGTCCCCCAACCCTGAGCCACGGCACGACTGGGATTCCGTCACCAGCCAGTGATGAACTATACCCCAGACACGACGTGGGACTGCCAGATATGCCTACATTAGACCCCCAGTCAACCACCCCTGGCCGTTTCTCGGCAGTCCGGACTGACAGTCCTATAGCTGGTGAGTGTCTGGGTACGACTCTCACCACGGGAGCCGAAGGGCCCGAACCATCTCCACCAAGATCTCGGGGCGAACTCGTCGAGCTGCATGGCACCCAATGCCGAAATCGCTTTCCCCCCGTGGTGGGTGGGCCACGCCACTTGGGATGAAGGTGGGAACGGGAAGCCATTCAGACCTACGCGCAACCCTCACACGCGCCTAGGCAATCCAATAGAATCTGCCAGTACGGAAGGCCCATGAGCCCATATTGAAACCTCAGTGCCAGTAAGGAGTTCCTCACCGAGGTCCAGGTATGCACTGCACAGGTGCTTCAGAACAAAAATTAGGCACCAAATCCCTAGACACAGCAATTTGCAGTGGATAAGCACAGCACTACAGCAGAAATGGTACAGGTGACCTGGTTCCACCACCACTTTCGATGAACATCCACAGGATCATGCCATCCACCCATATATATATATATATAGAGAGAGAGAGAGAGAAAGAGCGGGCGTGCTTGGGAAAAATAGCTGAAAACCAAGGTTTTGGTGATGTTTTAGCCAAAAACCACTGTAAAATCTGTAAAGCACTGTGTTTTTGCCCCATGTTTGCATGCACAACATCTCCCAGAAGCCCCCGTTCTGTATATATACCCCCCAAATGTATCCGTTAAACACAACCCCACAAAAAAAGGACTTCCAAAGGTTTGGCGCTCTGCTTCAACAAGTCCTGCTGCCTTTTTGGAGGAGGTGGTGGCCCCCCATGAACTCTCAGAACATTTAGAACATCTTCAAGGTCCTTCAGCATGTCCTGTAACATGCCAGGGTGAAACTTTTTGAAACGTAGGCAAGCCAGCGGTGGATGAAGGGTGAGGGCATCCTGATTTAAAACACCAGTATATACCTGCCCTGACACTTTGCAGTAGATCTAGAGAAACAGCCCAGATCCTACTTATACTTAAAGCTTCTATTTAGAATCAGAACTGACTTTGTGATGGATTGAGGAGAACTGAGCACCAAAAGATGGCCGACGGTCCACAAACAAAACACACTTATCATTATGTCATTGTTCAGTTCATCATTCATCATTACCGGCACAAATATACTATATATAAGTATATAAGTAGCAGTAGTGTGAAATCTTTTGTTTGGCCCAGCCACTCGGCAGAGTGTTTTGCCTCCCAGATTCCCAGAAACACTGACGCCACCTGGGCCCAACGTAGGTCAGGGAGCAGCTCAGCACTGACCTCGATGAGCAAGAACATGTGAGCGCTCGAGGACCTGGCTGAACGAAACCGATCTCTCAAGCTGTCTCACAGGCATGAAGCTTGCCATGAAGCAAGGACAAAGCCATTGATTGGTCGGACTATGACTCAAACTTCTTGACTTGACAAGTGCTGCCAGGCCCACATTTTTGGGTGTGTGTGGCATGTTGACAGGGTTGATGGGATGGACATTCATGGTCGAAAGGTTTCTGGATGGCGAAAAAGACAAGGTCCGGTGAAAAACGAGAGATGGCAGGGGGTGAGAACAGTTCCACAAGATGGGATCAACATATGAAGCCTGGTTGAACATGAACTTGACGCTGCCACTGTTTGCCTTCAAAAAACTGCCAACTGAAGGAACTAATCCTCTGCCGGTGCATGTTCTGCAAAAATAATTCTACTATACTATGTACAAAGGAACATCAACACGTAAATGTTGATTCGCGCCTGAAGATCACCTCTGTCCTCATGCTCACCGACCCACAGAAGACGGGCTTCCCATCGGCACCCAACAGCTGCTCCTGTCACAGGGCGCGCGCGAATGCGCAGGAAGGAAATGATACATGTAGAACGACTTTGGGTGTTTCAAGTGTTCCCCACTCTGCAAGGTGATTTGGAAGAAGAACAATAAAGATACGCTGTATATACTGACAAACTATCCCGACGAATGAGCTGGCATGATGCCTGCCATATGAGCTGGCATGTGTCTAGCAGATATGTTATGTACTGGCATTTTACCCAGCGTTTTCCCCTCATGAGTTGTTCTCTGGTATGCCTGGTGGCAAATGTTCTGACATGCGCACTGATATTCTATATTAACCGCATGTTGATATTTTGGCTGACATATGTTCTCACAAACGCATTTTCGGGCTTTTTAAAAGCAAAGGATGGGGTTTGGCACATCGATTAAGACCAGCACCGGAATCCATAAGAACCCCCTGGCCGATGGGAAACCAATGAGAACAGCATCGAAAAAAACCGTTTAAGGGCTCCGAAGGGTCGGGCCTTCTCCGCAAAGGCCGGCGGAAAGAAGGGGAAGAGTGGGACGGTTCTAAGGGCACCAATTATTGGGCCAATGTTTTTTTACTTTTTGCATGGCCTTGAATCGAATCTCAATGGCCTTGGGAGGTGCCAGTCGTCTCACATGGTGTTCAACTTGGTCACGGCCAGCGGTTGCCCAAGAAGAAGCAACATCAAAGCAACCTTGTGGACCAGTTGACCGGAGTACTAGCTGGTCTATTCCGGAAACAGGAAGACTAAGAGAAGGACCTTGGGAATGCACCCTGGGACCCTGCCACCAAGGAACAATGTGGCTCCGGGGTACGTGCTCGCAGAAGTTCTGGCTGTAGCCACAGTAGATGATGCGGCCCCTCCAGCCCACCGCACCGGTGTGTGGGGTGGGGCGGGCGGTTTCCCCAATGCAAACAAGATCGGAACCGTCGCATGAGGGATTTTCATGTGGGCGCAATTTTGCGCTTTTCCAAAGCCTATACATTTGCAAGAGCTAGCAGCCGCTCACGGAATGGGAACACACCCTTTGCTGGGGAATCGATGGGGAACTGTGGGAATTGCCAGCTGGACTGTCCCAGCCATGCATTAAGCACCCAAGGTTGGTTGCTCCAATTAGCGCTCGTTCTGTCAGAGATGCCTTCGATGTTCCAAACAGAACTGGGAGTTCTGTGGAGAACTTGGGTCAGTGTCATCCGATTCCGCTGTTGGTGCACCTCAAAAAGCAATGGTCTTCCAACTCTGCTTGTACCATCCGGGTGCGCCTTTGTTGGCAACAGTCACTTTAAAAGCTTGGTAAGTTGGTCCATGGCAATCCAACCTTGTTCAAAGCATACAACCTGCGTGCTTCTCCCGCAACAAAAAGTAAAGAAGCACACCTTGTGCTTCCTTTCATGGTCCTCAAGTGAGCTGGTATGCTTTTCGGTCACTTGCACACACAGTGCGTCATTGGGCGGCCTTCGCTGCATCATGGCCAGCTGCATGTGCCACAAGTCACCTTCGCTGGTTTGCAAAGGGCTTGGGCAAACCGCTGGTTTGCCAGCAGTTGAACTAAAACTAACTGTCAGTCGAGCTCACTTCTGTCTCATACAAGAACATCTTTGGAGGGTCAGGCAGCTCTGCTTTTGGCCATTCACCAAGACTCCCAGCGCCACGGCCGCCACGTTGCGTCGAACGCGCCACGCGCTCGACGTTCGCGTCGAGGCCCCAACGCTTCGAGAGGAAAATGTCACCAATGACCATGACCATTCGCTTCAATGCAGCTGCCTGAAGAAGACTGAGGGGAGGACGGGACGGGAAGCAAAGATCCACCGGAAGGACTAAAGAGATCTAGAGGCCACCACACTGCAGGTCTCTGGAAGCCCTGATTAATGCTGACGGAGGGACGTTGTGCGTGTCTCTGCGCGCCGGTCTGTGCTCTGATTCCGGAGCCAAGCTCTGTACATCCAGTTGTCCATCCGAACTCCGCTTGATCTCTGGGGTTCCGCACCCCTTCCTCCACCACTTCCAGCTTGGCACGCTTCTCATTCCCAGGCACACCCGCCTCAGGTCCAAGCTAACATTCTCAATGGATATCAATGGATCGGCCACTACCAGGACCTTCCAACGGATAGTTTTTGGACACCCCATATATCATCTTTATTCATCTTATATCACATCGGGCCATTTATAACAGACACCCCCGTGTTCGGGTTCCTGGTATCAAGAAACCCAAGGTTTCGAGGCCTATGGAGTCTATTCTTGGAACCACACGTAACCTGCTAACTTCGGTTTTTGCCTCCACCGGGATCGGACGAACTCCTGTGCTTCAGGGATAGGCTCAGGAGTCACACCCAAACCAGCCCAGCTGGCTCCAATCGGTGGCCGCCCTCCAATCGGTCGGTCCCACGTCCCACGCGCCGAGTCGCTGCATTGAGGATGGACTTGGTGATGGAGATGTTCCTGAGTGGGGAGGTGAGGCGCCTTATATCCCAGACACTCCATGTATGGTATATTTGCCGATCAGTTGGGGTGGTTTGGGGGGTCAATTGATCGGCATATATGGCAAGCAAAACGCAGCGTCTGGGTATGGTTTCATCATGGTTCCGAGCCGAGGGCCCACCACAGGTCTATGCACAGCTTCACAGCAAGCAAAACGCAGCACCACATCCCTGGACCGGGTCAAGAATCCTAAGTTCAGCTCTCCCGGCCGGGTTATGAGTCACTTCTCTGGGCGGGGACGCACCAAGAAGTGGCCACCTCCTTTCCAACAGAGGTTGAGGGACCCGAACTAGACTATCCCAGTCTGGTACCCCAGTAGGGTCCCATAAGGTCACTTAACCTCTCTTTGTTGAACACCCTCCTCCTTCAAGTGGACCCAATCCTGCTCCTAGCCGCCCAGTCTTCAGACGGTCGGAGTAGTACTCTGCATTCGCGCGAATGAAGAACCTCAGCACCAAGCAGGAGGGACACCCTGCACTTCTGCTATAGATGTATAGAAGTGATTTAATGGGAACTCTCCCAAACATGGATTGCAAAGCCATGTAAAGACTCGTCATATGTAAAGTGAAACATATAAGCAACAAAAGGTTCTTGACTCATGGGAGGATGTCTATAGCGTTTCCTTAAGACTGATTGATGGCCCGGAAAGACCCCGAAATCTGAGGGGGGTTCCAGTTAAGTCTCCTGATCGAGCCGTGAATGTACAGGGATGAATTTTCAGGGGGTCTCTACCGTACCCATCCCAGACCATCCATGGGATTGGAATATATGCTGATCAATTGACCCTCCTGGCACCACCCCAACTGATCGGCAAATACCTGGGTCTTCCAACTATGCCAAATGTCTGCCTTTTGGCTTATATGGCCAAAAGGCAGACATTTGGCATAAGGAAGATCTAGGTATGCCGGGGGCCGAAAGACCGATAGCCGCCGGCCGCAGCCGTTTGGTTGCAGCCGCCTGGCGGCTGTAACCAGTCAACGGCGTGTCCTGGTGTTCACAAGGCTACCAACCACATACACTCCATTGGTGGTCTAGTCGTACGCGGACCATCTGGGTGTGCTGCTGGACTACCCCGCGACACTACTGACTACTAGGTCCTGGGATGTCCTGGGCTGGATCACTCCACACTATACTCAGGGAAATCTCCAAACAGGACACCCAAACATGATGGTCCTGGCACCTCCAAACCCATTCCCGACCCAACACCCCTGGACCCTCCGACCAAAACCCCCAGTTCCCTCCGAGCTCGGGGCGGAAGCTCCGGCTTCTCCGCAAACTTCACCCGGATCAGTGCCTTCCCGTTCATCACCGGTCCGAAGGCGCCCCGGTCAGAGCGCCAGGTCGGTCTTCTCCGCTGTGGGTCGGTGCGCGAGGTTCCGCCGGAAACAGGGGCAACCATTTAAGGCCTGGGGCCTGGAGGTCAATCCCTAGGGATCCAAGTACCTTCTCAGAAGGTACGACTGGACCCTCCTGGCACCTACATAACAGTGCCTCCAATCACCGCACCTGAGAAAGTACTTGGATCCCTAGGGAATGTATATTATATTCAGCGCTGTTTGTGTCCAGTACCCGGGGTGCTGGATCTCAAATGGATTCAAGTGGACCAAATGCTCGGGTGAGCCTGTGTCTCCAACATGTCACTGGTCCGGTATATTCATACAATATCCGAGGAAGATGTGGTTCAATCCGAAACCCAACAACTTCCTGTATGGCATTTTGGATCAGGGGTGGTTTCAAGGGTCCATGTGGGCATTAATGTATCGAATACATGAGGTGTCTATGTCATCATAACCCTCAGCTCCAATAGCCCAAATCCTGCCAAATCAGCATCCCAACTCCAAAATCGCAAATTCTGCCATCATTCGACACGAAGCCGGTCGCGCCAAGCCAAGTCACGCCATCTTCAAAGTTGCCCTTCAGAGTGGAAGGGAGCAACACTGGACGGGAGCCCTCCTGGAGGAGCTGCAAGGCCTACTGGCTTGAGAATGTTGAGATGCCCATCACAAAGTCAGCCTGCTTAAGTGGATGGAATGAGATGGAATGAGTACGTAAGAAACATGTTGCCGAAAACTATTTTGTAATAGAATTCTGAGAGATCTACGTACGTTCCATCATATTCCGTCTATAGTCTTGGGTGTATAACAGCACCACGACGCCGGATTCTGCACCGGAATCGGTCCAGCCGTCCTCATCATGCCAAGTCCATCCGACCTCGGTGTCCTTGCCGGACCTCAGTGTTCAGGAGCCCTATGGGATGGGCATAGAGGGTACATGGGCTGTCTATGCGTAGCGCCACGAGCAAATAGAAGGGGTGTCCATGAAATTCAACCACCTGAGATGTGGACCACTGAGTCCTTGTCTTATGAAGTCTTATGGTATTCTTCCATCTCGGGACCTGGAAGACAAAGACTCTCACTCACCGGCCCTGGAAGCGGAACAAAAAACCGAGTTGCTGGCGGGGAGTGCGTGTGAGGTGCTACTGTACATGATCTACTTCGCACCAGGATCAAACGGTGATCACATGTGGTAGGGGGTCAGGTCTCTAAAGGTATGACCACTGCTCAACGGAGTGGGAATTGATATGTCTTTTACAGCTTTGAAGCCTTAGACCTGTTCAGCCTCGTAGATGACACACTATGGCAAAACATTTGAAAATGACAGTGCCATTTCTTTTTCATCCGAAGGGTGCAATCCTCCAAGCACTTGGGCCAGGAACATATGATCAATCCCTAGGGCTCCGGCTCCAAGTACTTCTAAGAAGGTGGGACTGGGGTCGGTTTAGAGGGTCCAGTCATACCGAACCTGAGGAGGTACGACTGGAGCCCAAACGGGAATCTCAATCTCACAATGCGGCATTCAACGAACTCATCTGCTTGAGGATGACGTAGGTCACCTGTGGTCTCGTTGGATCCGTTCGACCTCCCCTTTCAGACTCCGAGGGCACCAGCGTGCTGAGACAAGCGTGGGCCGGCTCCAGGGTGTGTACTGGCCGGCTCCATGGGTTGATGTCCATCTGTCCTGGTTCGTTTAAGAAGGGTCCAGGTGTTTCCAGCTCGCTCCTTGCTCCCAAGCCGCTTGTCCTCGGGTTCCTTCTTCGCCTGGGCATCGTGAGTCCGATCCCTTTTCTCAGGCCATGGAAGCGGAGCCAAGGCCCCTTTGTAGAGGAAAATCGTCTGACCCAGGGGGCTGAACATGGCAGAACTGTTTCACTAGTAGCAAGAGGATGCTACTAGTAACAAGGAAGCTACTAGGTGGAGGCCATCGCTACTAGTAGCAAGAAGCTACTAGTAGCAAAGGCATGACTAGTAGTAGCACGGATGCTCTGATTTCAAGGAGTGTAATACCAAGCGTCACTGTTCAAGTCTTCATGTCCTTCGCTCCTTTGCCTCGCTCCAACTTCCCCCGCTCGTATTCTTCCCAGGCGCCGCTTCAAATCGGGCCGCAATGGAGCGAGCGCCTGGCAGGAGGGTAAAGGTCACATCAGTCACATGCCTTGGCGGGAAACATGTCTTCCTAGGACACTATCATGAAGCTTTTTCTGTTGTCTTCCACGGGGCTTTGTGTCCACGTGATTGGGATTTCTATGGATTTCTTGGACAAAGGGCGCTAGGCCCTACGACCCGTTGCGCGGGATCGAACTCCCTGCTTGCTCTCAAACGTTTCAGTCCTTATGACATAATGGCCGAGTAATGGCCCACAAATATGATGGGGGAACCGTCCGCGTCAGTGGCTTCTCTTGAACCGTCCGCGTCAGTGGCTGCCACTTCCACTAGAATTGCAACCAGGCCCACCGATCGAAGCAGTTGCCACATCACCTTCGACTGAAACTTGCAGGTGGAAACGTTGAATGCCTTGGATCCTTTCAATCCTCTAGCCCCCAAAGTCGTTTTTCCTCACAACCCTACGACCCGTTGCGCGGGTTCGAACTCCCTGCGTGTGTGGGTTCGACGCCCTGCGGAACCCCTCCCACCCAGCCTAGGAGTCCCCTAGGCATGGGCCTTGCCGCCGGCGATGTGCAGGCAACAACAAAATCATATTTAAAGGGCGTTCGAAACTTCGTCGTGGAAAACGCATGCGATTCTAAAGAGCTCAAGTGTTTTTTTCCTGGCCTGGCTCGTCACCATGCATGGCTGGTGGCTGGTGTTTTTTCTTAAGCTGTACCTGGCTTAAACTGACTGTGCGTGATATAGTGATGCCCAAGCTGTGATGCCCTCAATTCAGTTCCAAGTTGAGCCGACATATCTATCTACCTGGACCTTCAGAAAGGGCGATCCAGTTTGGAGATCCACGTGCGTAGCGGAGGGTATTCCAGTTGAGGCCCCCTTAAGGGAGGTGCTGGTATGTTCTTGTTTTTGATGTGTTATTTGAAGACTCGAGCCACTTGGACCACTATATGGGCCCATCTGGGGGTCGCATGTGGGGCTGACGCGAAACTACATGTCAGCAACGTATTGTATGCCTCTTCTTCTTCTTGTTGTTGTTGGCTGGTCTGGTACTGGCGCTTGTTGAAGGCCAAGCTGGAATGTCTTCTCAAACTTAAACCAAACAAAATTGATAAAAACAGCTGCAGCCAACGTGCTTGCAATCTCAATCCCAGTCAATCTGTGAAGCTGGTGAAATGAAGGAGTCACAAGCATTTACATTTCCACCCATGACTCCTGGCAACTCCAAATCATTCCAAATCCTAATTGCTACACCTCCCAAGCTGGCTGCCCTCTGAGTCCCCACAAAGAAAACGCGATGGAGGTGTGAACATGATACACCGAAAGCAGTGGCATCCAGTGGCATTCCGGTGGCTCGATAGTTGTTGGAAATCCATGAATGCCTGCGATTGTCATAAGCACACGTAAGTTCAATCGTTTGGTCAACACGCTGCTGATGCAATGTGTCAGGAGCTGGCAGTGAAAGAAGTCTGGGAAAAGGGTGAGCTGGTCAAACACTTGGCAAAAGCGTTGCTCAACTTCCAGAAACAGGTGATGACCCAAAAACTCGAGATGAGCTTCGCTGGCCGCTTCGCCACTCGTGTTTCTATTCACCCTCCGAACCCCCTTGGCTTGCACCACCTTTCCATCGCAGTCGTGGACCCGGACGAATCTCTCACTGACCTGGACTGACCTGATGGAGTGATCCACTGAGTCAGACTCACTGATTCACCTGAAATTGATCCACCTGACATTCACTGACCTGGACTCACTGATGACCTGATTCCACCTGAACCATCTTTTTCTACTCAGTGAGTGTCTCACTTTGGAATCGATTTGGTCGAAGTTCCAAGCTGTCAGGCCCGGTTCAACTGCTTCTAAGACATGGTTTGCAGGGGGCTCGGTCCTTCTTGTCGTCCGCATGTGAATTGCGTGTTATTTCGTAGCTATTGCTGTATAAGTATGTGTTCCGCGTTCCATGTAGATTTATACTACGACTTGTTTTCTAGTTTTGCTCCGTGGCGCATTCAGCTCAACCTTCAAAATGTCCTATCCTCAATGCTATGACCTTCACCATCCTTCACAGCACCTCGACCGGTTCCAACCCGCAGCCCCACAGAAGCAAAATCCAACACCTGGAGTTCCGTGTTGGGGGTGGCTCTTGGATGTTCAGAAGCTCCTGAGTGAATGGATCAGAAAGACAGCCCTGCTGTGGTGCCACTGCTGGTGCAGTTGACTTTACCCCACTGCTGTGGTGCCAACTATTTCTGAAATGTTTGGTCAAACTGGTTGGCTGCACTGACGAAATAAAAGGCAGGCGTCCAAACTCTCTCCCCTCCGCTGAAACCACCGCCGCGGTCCCTTTTCCCCAGGCTCAGCGTGATGCCACCGCTCGGCCCCGGTGCCGCGGCACGGCGCTTGGCTTTAAGCGCCTCGAGAGCCAGGGTCCAGTGCGCCTGGAGTCAGGACATGCTGGAATTCACGTTGGAATTGGAATGGGGATGTCTGGATGGCCCTCTCTTGGGCAAGCATAGGAAGTGGTAGGTAGGGGAAAGAGGGTCAAATGGACATGATCTTTTAAATCCGGCCAGTGGTATTGTTTTTTCTCTCTTTTTTGAGCGCCCCTTACCCCTTGGGCGCCCCTACTCTCCAATAACCACTCTTGGACCCGGACCCGTCTGGTTGAAGTTGGTCTCCGCAGGCGTTGCTGTGTGATCTTTTCTGGGCACATTGATATGTACAGGTAAACTCCCCATACCAGGGCAGGCCTTCACCAAACAAATCAAAAGGCATCCAAAGGCAAATTAACATGTTGGAAGCCCCTGCCCTCTGGATAAACATGGACCGTCTTCCCGGCGCTCTTTTTCTTGTTTATACTTCGTCCATGGGGAGGCACCCCCTTTGATGTAGACTGTTGGTGTGGAACACACCCCTGCCAAACTGGTTCTACATCTCCAGGCTCCAAATCAAGTGGTTTCTTTTTTTCAAGCTGCCCATCAACAGTCTACATTCGCTCCATGAGTCAAATAGATTCAGTCTGCACCCGCTGGGGCGGTTCTTCCGTTCTTCGTCGCCTGGGCCAACTGGGTGACCGAGGTCTCCTTGAGCCCAGCGAGCACCTGGGCTCGGGGGCCGAGGTAAGGAGCACAAATGCCAAGTCTAGAAACAAATCAACGTGGACCTTCATTTCGGGGTGTCCTGGCCGGAGATCCCGGATGGTAGTGTTGGTGCTTCCAGCCAGGCGACCCCTTTGAAGGTGCTGGAAAGCAATCCAAATATGGTTGCAGTACTGGCTGCAGTACTGGTTACGTCTCAAAAACTTCTACCAACGAGCTGGGCTGGAGAGGCGGTGGAAGAACTGGGAGGTGGCCATGGGCAACCTACCTAGCTCGGGATCAGAAGATTCCACCAAATCTGCATCCTGCAAGGGGGTCCTCTCATTGCGAATACAGCTCGGCTAATCTACTGGATTGGGTTGACTCCACAAAAAGGTCTAGGATGCTTCTAGATCAAAGTAAGTTTTTAAGACACGGCTCTTTATTCAAGACGTCAATGCCTCTGAGCATTTCACACAAGTTCACCTACTAGCCGTGACGATGTTTCAATGCAGCACAAGGGCCCAAGGGCGCTCAATTGGTTGCCACATGTCTAATTTCCAACGTTTTGTGCCCATGCGCTGAGTAGCGTCCGCACCCCAAGTACTCTTCAAATGTTCTCTAGCATGTCTTCCTATGTACATCTGAGCGCTTTTCGCGGTCCAAAGACCTCCCCCTAAAGTCTACACCCCGACCCCCGACTCCGCAGGGCATGTCACACCTCACCGCACTCGTGACGAACCCGGACTCTCCAGGACTCGCCTCCTCCACCATTTGCACCAATGCCATGGCATGTGACCTGCACGTTTGGTCCGTGATGTCCATCGTGGGTGAAGCTGCACCCACCCAGGTTTGGAGCCAAGACCATCCACGCCGCAGGAACGCAGGATTTGACACATGGTGGATGAAAAGCTGATGTTCCTTGATGGGATTCAACATCTGAATCCACCCCTTTTACAGCTTCTCAGGCTTTGTGCCGGATCCACTAAAAGGATGACTGACGTTAAATGACCCGTGCATACCCAGGCCCAGTCTTCTTTGGGGGGATTGGGGCATGATATTTGAGACCAACCGCACAAGAAATTCTGGCGTACTCCGTGCTTGAAGTAAACACATCCAGTGCAGAACCCAAAGGAAAAGACATGACAGAAGAAACATCAGAAATTCCTGTTGCGGGACAGCTAGGCCGCTAGACACTCTTGTGCTTCGACAGCTAGACCATCGGAGACAAGCGGAGACGTCGAACAAATGGCGACCCAAGCAACCCACAGCCGAAGACGTAGCAACGCAGCACAACGGGAGACAAGCAAAGACAAGCCTACAACCTGCAAAAACCTCCGTTCACAGGAGTAAGAACTCCTCACAGGATCTCACAGGGAATACCAGCCGAAACGTTCAAAGCAGATCAGATCTTGATACACTCTTAGCCACGTGCGCCATGGTCCCAACTCCATCTTGGAAGCCCTCTTGAAGGTGGAGGACTCACCCTCAGAGCCCACTACAAACAAGTCTTTGCCTGTGCCATGTGCCCTTTCACACGTTCCGTGGCATGTGCCCATTCACACGGCCTCACCAGCGCATGCACGCCATCGTCCCGCAAGAGATGGTTCACCAACTTGCAGAAGACCTGGGAGAAGGTCCCAGCGGACTGGTGCAGCGGACGTCCCCAAACAAGTCCACATCAGTCTGTAGAAGCCCAGCGGGTTGGAAGGAAAAACACTTTCCTTCTGAAGCTTTCCACCTGGGTTTTCTGTTCAGGCTGCGAAATTGGGCAGAAACAACAACGGAGTCTCAACATGGGGAGCGCACACGATGATCATATTTCATCAACATTGAAATAGTATTATGGTTATATTTATATAAATACATACCAGCTGCTTCCAAGGGGTTACCAATGGACAACCCTACACTGCTTATAGGTCACCATTGGAAGCGCTAGGTATATATATATATATATTACGCACAATAACTCAAGGGTTATGGCACGAGGACCACCTCACGTGCGAATGCCACGGAATATTTCACATCCTAAGACTCGCCCGGTGACCACCTCATCCTATATCCAAAATATAACTGAATTTAAGAAGTCAACTTCTGGACGAGTTGCCTCAAAGCATCAACTCTTCCCTGACCTTCCCTGCTGCCGCGGAGCTAAGCGTGCCTGGCAGGCCAAAGCATCCTCTGTGGCCGACTGAAGCGCATTCAGCTCCTCGGCCTCGCGGGACGATCAAGACGAACATGGAACAATGACATGGACTATCATGGACCCAGGTCAAATGGCACCCTCAAAGACTATTTTCCTCTACAAACCAGTGATGTTCAGGGTCTATGTTAGTTTTCAGTGGGGTAGCTGCGGATTGGCTTGATCTATAGACTCCTGTAACGACCTGAATCTATTGGAGCCAAAACAAGGTCATTTTTGCATATAGACACAAGGTTATGTTCCAGGTTCCAGGTAAATGATGATGATACCATGCAACAACTTTTGAACAAGAAAGCATGACAACATTGTATAGACCAAAGCCAAAATCTCTGGTTTGCCTGAGCCAAGACCAAGATAGCTCTTTAAACTGATCTAGATTGAAAAGAACAGATTAACATGCATATATACTTGAGACTACTGGGTGCCTGTCATTTGAGATGGATGGAGGTTCCACACCGTGCACTGTATTGGCATGGTGACTGTTCCTGACAGCTCCAAATTCCTAGGCCACCCATGGACCTCGGAAGTCAACTGCCCCAATCGTCCTATCTTGGGGTCTATGCAGAATGCGTGGGTTCAGTTTCTTGAGGGCTTCAGGCGCTGGAACGGCGCATTTCTTTATTTTTTCAAAATGCCTCTCTAGACACCTTAGATGGAACATCAAATCCAAAATCCCTTGCAGCCTCGGCAACAAGAATCCGTATCAACTGTCCAGCATCACTTGGCCACTTGCAGCCGCGCTTTTTAATCGAAAAGGAACACAGCGAGTGTTTCATCGGCCACGAACTGGCTCGAAATGCGCGAAAAGGATCCAGCCGGCGAGGGATGTTGTTATCGGCTATCATGTTCTTTTGTCATACAGTACGAACGGGGAGCAAATGACGGATTCTGAAGTGTTGGGCTATACTGGGCCCAATGATTCATGTCGAAATGGTGTGACCAAAGGTCCAGTTCACCGGTGAAAATTGGCCAGTTCATATCGTGCAATGACCACCTGGCTTCTCTGGTGGAGCCCACCATGGTGTTGGAGAACTGCGTCACAGGCGCTACGGGTGGGGACCGGCATGCTAGATTGAAAACATGGGCCAAAAAGAAGCCGCGGCCCTTGAAGAGTCATAGACATCTTGGGTTGTGACAAGCTAAATCTTGTGAACAGGTACATGATGGTAGGTGCATAAAGTTTCAAGGAAATCAATCAGGTTCAATGATTTATATATTCCCACAATCCTTAGATATCTTTTGTTGAGCTATCTGTCATAGGGCCAATCTACTGCTGCATGAAAAGCAGAACGGTCACAAGGAGGTGCCAGCACTTTGAATCGAACTAGTTGATGTCCTGGTGTTTCCCTTAATTAAGCTGCTTCCAAAACATGTCAATTTATGAACCTTCCCGTCCCAAACTCATGTGGATGTGTTCGCACCAGTCATGTCTTTCACCGGTCCCCTTGTTCCATTCCCGTGGTCACCGGAAAGCTCACTCCTGCGGCCCCCGGTCCGAAAAACGCTCGCTCAGAGGTTCATCCGGCGATGCTGAGTCCCAAGGACTGCTGCGCCAGGATGCCACCTACGCCCAAGAAGTAGCCGGCCAGGGCTGCCTCGGCCACGCTCGTCGTCGGATGGTCGGATGCTGCAGGCTGAGGCTGAGCATATGTAGTTTTGGGACGAAAAGACGCCTGGACATGTGAAGAGTGGGAGGGCCTGATAGAAGGAATTTTGGCGGGTAGTGGTCATTGGCCCCTTGGAAAACAATCAAGTGCTCCACCTGCCAATGTGGGTGTTTTCCACCAAAATCACCTGACTCTTGGGTGGGCAAAAGCTATCAAAAGTTCAAGCACCCAACGTCCACGGAGGGTGCCCAAATGAGCCACTTAGGCAACCACCTTCCATTTTTCCATGCACGGACCTACCGTACTCACCACCATGCACGGACCTACTGTACTCACCCCCCGACCCCATGCACGGACCTCTCACCTCACCTCCATCGCCCGTTCGCTCGCCGAGAGTGATCAGGCCGCATCCGACCACGCTCCAAGGGACAGGGCCAATGCTCTTGACGTACCAGCCAAAAGAGACATTCCGCTCCATTCCTCGGTGCGGATCTCTGTCTCTTGTGCGGATCTCAAGAGACCATTGCTGCTAGATCTGGATCATGACGACTCAAAAGTGATCAAGAGTTGGGACCAAGCTCTCCCCAATCAAAACAATAATCACGAGCCTAGCGGTCTAGCGCGCGACGAGAAAAGCCTGATTGGACTAATGGCTCTGGCATTCTTTCCCTCTCAAACATCCAACTGCAATAGGAAGGACTCCCTTTACAGATTATTGCAACATGGACTCGCACTGCCTGATCCGGGTGATCATTCTACGTGGTAGAGACCCCATTCTACGTCGACCGCCTCTCTCTCACACGGTCAGTGCACCCAATTGGGCCCCATTCCACGCCTTTGGGCCCCATGCCACCCAGAAGCCCATGAAGGCCACGCCGGCCGCGGAACCGATCACCAGCAGCGAACCGCCGGTGGCCGCGCAGTAGGTGATGAGGTTCCACAGGCCGTCGTTGGCCGGGTGAGCGCCCAAGTCGTACCTCGCTGGGGGCGAGTGAAGAGCTCTGGAGCTCGGGAAGAGCTCGGGCGAGTGAAGCAGCTGGGTGCGAGCAGCGGGAGCGCCGGGACAGCCGGGGTAAAGCTGAAGTTCTGGTTGAAAAAACAAGTCTGAAATGACTTATTTCTATATTGGAGATTATTGGAGATCTATAATAGATACATTTGCATCCACAAGTCTGTAGTGTGTGAGTTTCCTGAAAGGTTCTGAAACAAACATCACCTACTTCATCCTACATCTTTGCAATGCCGGCACTTCAAAGGCCCCCAAGACGTGGCAAGAGTTCGACCTTCCAAGGCACATGCCCTGCGCTGCAGCCACCAGCGGCACGTTGTCCACGACCGCGGAAGCGAAGCCCAAGAAGATGGCGACCAAGGCGTCATAGGGCACCTGATAGAGTTCTGGAGCTTAAGGTGATCGGGTGAAGCTCATCCATCTGTTCTGAACTTGTCGCAGTTGTATACATAGGGTTGCATTGAGAACACACAAATCTTTATCAAATAAATGGATTGATGGATGGGAGGATGCTGGCATGCTGGAACGATTCTTGTTGATTGTAATCTGATTTCACTGATGCGGAATTGGTTGATGCTGATTGCTTAGAAGCCACTGCAGAAATGGATTTGCATCAACATGTGCCAAGCACAGCATGACCTTAAAAAGTAAAGCAAAACATATCAAAACATGATGATGTTCCATCATGTTCCATTGTGTTCCATGATCCAATTGCGTAATTGTGTGGTGGACTTTAGAGCACTGATGCCACGTTTATATACTGGCCCTATGGCTGTCACAACTAATAATTATATATAATTCAAACAAACTGCCAAAGATTAAGTTGGCTACTGCCTTTTGTTCAAGTTGTCAACAGGTTTGCTGAAAAGGATTGCACCTGCTCCCCGAACAGGATCTATATCTTCTCCATTGTCTCGAGAACAGGGCCAAAGGAATCCGGATTTTACATGGTATTCCTCCTCCTTTGCCACACAAGCTACGGCCAGGGCCACCTGGTAGAACCATCGGTGATGCTGGACCGTGCACTTGCGGACTAGAACCCATCTTGCTCCAAAAAATCAGTCCCTTGATGGGTACGGGTGCTGGTTGGCTTAAAAATGCTTGAAGCTTACCTGGACCTTCATGTCGGGGTCACCTAGCTGGAAGGCCCACTACCATTCGGGACCTTGAGCCAGGACACCCCGAAATGAAGGTCCAGGTATAAGCCCTAGGGATCCAAGTACCTTCTCAGAAGGTACGACTGGACCCTCCTGGCACCTACATAACAGTGCCTCCAATCACCTTACCTGAGAAGGTACTTGGATCCCTAGGGAAGGCTTATGCTGGATGGTTGGGTCTACCAGTCTACCATCCATTTCTCTCGGCGTTTGGACACGCGTCCGTTGGAGACGTTGGACGGCCAAGGCACCAGGGAGCTCAGTTGGATGGCGAACTCCTTCAGAAGGCCTTGGAAAAGCTTTCAATCGTTTTTGGGAGGAAAGCTTCTTCAAGAGATTCTTAAGTAACGTTTAAAGAAACATAAAGAAACGGCTCTTGTAATTACTTCTTCAAGACATGTTTAAGAGATGTTACAGAAACAGTGTTTCTACAAAAGCACGGGATTATTGGGTGTGGCGGACACCTCCAAACGGCCAAACGGCTGCCGAAACATTCAGGTGGCAACGGTTGTGTGCATGCTGCGATATCACGTGTTGGTTTGTATGACGCACACTTTGAGGATTGTTTGAGGCAACCCAAACTCAGAGGCAAACCCCACTAGAAGCCTCCCAGGAATCGAACGAATCGAAGCCTCGACTTGGCTTTTCCGATGTCACGGAAGCTGATCTGTTCAGACAGGAACAGCACTCTCGAAGAACCGAGCCAAAAGCTCACCCAACACCTCGCATCATCTATCTGCCCTTTCAACACCTCGCCATACTATGAGCCAAACAGAAGCGGCCCAGCACGGGTGAACTTCCCATCCAGGCGGCCAACACGCTCCAATCCGCCCACGGCAAAAAGCACACCCAAGAAGAACAAGGCATCTGGCACCTGTCTGTCAGTGGGCCGGTGGCCATGTCTGTCAGATGAGGTCTCCTGATTCAATGCCGAGGTAGTGTGAGTCGAGTGACATCTATTTATGCACCCACATGGTAACCATGGGCCTGGAAATTACCAAAAGTAGGGGCTCATAAATTGGTGTTTGCATCGTAGTATCCATGCTGTATCCATGGACACCCCCATACAAGTCGCTGACGCCCCGTCTCGCGCTAAGCGTTCCGCGCCCGACTCGCCCGACTCGATCATCCGGACGCGGTGACGCGGATGGCCGGTGCACCTCCACCCGGGTGAGCGCACCCTTGAGGGAGTACTTCTCATCCTCTGGGCCATGGAGCAAACTCGTGATCAAGCCCAAA